AATTAAATTTTATTATAATGATTTAGTTTGTGATTATATTATTTTTTATTTTTGTTTGATTAAGTTTTCCTCTTGTTCTGTTGCTTTAAATAAATGTGTGTTAATTTTGTACAATATAATGATGGTGGCACAGTGGTTGAAAGCTTGGCTAGTGATGTTTTGACCCAAGTTCGAATCCTATGAGGAGCAGCCAAGCATCAATTTTTGCCCAACATGCAAGGGGCAAAATAGTAAATTTCTGTTTTAAAATAAAAAATATATGAAAAAATTGAATAATTGCCGCATTACATGAATGTGTGCTGCACGCGCTGTGAAGTTGGACGGAGAGGGGGGATTCGTGCAAAAGTTAGTTAATACGAGGGGGTCTGACGCAATTTTTAAAATACCAGAGGAAAACGCGCAGATTTCATATAATATAGGGGGATTTGGTGCAATAAACCCTTTTTGATATATTTGATTTTCTTGTTCACATATTCAACTTTTTCTTTCTCCTGATTTATTTGGATGGAGCTTTGTGCTATCCTCTGCTGCTATTCTAATTTTGCCGTTCAGGTTTTTGCCCCCATATATTAAATTGAATAAAATAAAAATCTTTAAAATTGCAATCAAGTCCTTTGAGATTATCAAATTCCCATTAAAAAAACCCATCTCCCAATGTAGTTTCTTCCATCCATTGTTGTTCGATCAGCCCGCAAGCAGAGGCGCATACTCGGATGTATGCGGCGGTGGGCACTGCCAGTGTCGGCGGCGGCCGGTGGCGGAGTTTCGCGACGGGCAGCGGATGATGCCGTTTGGACTAGACCGGCGGCCGCCGTGTGCCTGACAAGACCAGCGGCACGACGAGCTCAACGTCCTCGATCGTTTGGACGAGACCAGTGTTGTGCCAATGGCGGCGTTGCGAGGCGTCAACCACGGTGCGACCGGGCGGCTGAGCGGCGCGACTAGGTGGCTGAGATCGGCGGCGACAGGTGCAAGTGGACCGACTACCGTTCGCGGCGCCGGTGCGATATGTCGTGTGGTAGAAGATCTCCGACCTCCAGGTACAGTCGTCGCCGCGCGTCTCGCCGGAGGAGACGACCTTCTCGTCGGATTTGAGAGGCGGGAGTCGGTGGAAGAAAAAATGGCGGAGTCGACATCGGCGTTCTCGGCCGTCGGCGAACGACGGCGGCGTTCGATTCGATGAGTGCGGCGGTGCTATGTGTGGAGTGGCCGGTGGTGCGGCGGTGCTGTGCGTGTAGATCTGTGTTTTTTTCCTTGCAGGCATGTGTGTGTGTGTTGTGTGTGTATAGTGTGTGTGAGTGTGAGAGAGAGAAAGAGTTGTTGGGATGGTGGGATTTATTTGCCACGTGGCAGTAAATTAGTGGATGTGTGGTGTATGAGTTGACCGAATTATGGAGTAGTTGGCAGGTGACATGTGCATTGATTTGTATAAAATTACCACATTACTCTTAATGAAAGTATAATTTTTGACTTTTTTTTAACCATTAGATCATCAGATCTAATGACTACGATCTATTCTTATTTCTCGCATTAAGTATCATTCTCGCCGGAGCGCGACCCTATATATATATATATAAAGGTTTGATTATTTCTTAAATAGTAACTATTTCCCTAAATAAAATAAATCTATTTACTATTTATAGAAATTAATTTAACAATTTATGGTATATATTAGATGATCATTTATATATGGAAATTGCAGCTTCTTATTTAAGGAAGTAACTAAGACATATTTTAAGATACCTTAACTATTCAAATTATGTGAATTAATTAATATATGGTATAAAGTAGAAGGATTTATTTTTGGTATTGATGGTTGTTTCTATGGGAAAAAAATTAATCAATATATGATATAAAGTGAGCAAATTTATTCAGGTTAGCACTGTTGTTTTTTTAACATGATAAATAGTGTCGAAGCCAACAACCCACCTGTCTCATCCTAGGCTAGGCTCCCAAAAAAACCTCTTGAAAAGGAACGGAAGGTTGAGGACTCTTAGTCTGATGGCAGGCCGAACGCGCCAAGTCAATTGATTCACCCATTTCTCCCTCCCCTTTTTTTGGCATAAAAAATCTTATGACTGATAACTTTTACTCAACTACTTAAATTTTTTTTATTTGGATAGTTTATACAAAAATAAATTCATTTTAGTTAATAAAACAATATAAGTTTTATATTTATACTTATTATTCACATAGTTTTTAAATATATGATAAATTTTTACCAAAATATTTATTTTATGAAAGCACATTATAGTCAAATCGAATTTCTAAATAAAAGTTTTAAATAACACATATTTTGAAACGAATATAATGTAATTTATTATCAATTATGTGTAACGCACGAGTTGTTTACTAATTTTAAAAAGACATTTTTATGTAATTTTGCACAATTTAAATTTTATATAACATTTACAATAAATTATTTCCATATTTTTAATTAATAAATATTATTTAATAAAAATTTTTAATTTATAAATATTAATGAATGTTTCTTACTCGTGCATCGCACGGGATTTATACAAGTGTTTTACAAAATCACTCATTATTTTATCTCAAGATTACCTATTATATTTATCAATTAACCGTTATGAAATATAATACTTTCCTTCATATGATTAATGATTATAAGCTCCATTTCTCCATAATCTCTCTAATTTAAGCAATTACCTTATATACATGGAAGAGACGTTTGGGCGGGAAAACGAAAAGTTGGCAATAAACTTCTTGCGAGACTCTGGCGGTGCCTTAATTGAAGCACGTCCCCCTCTCACGCAGTGACCAGAGACCTTACGAGTGACAATGGCGAGCAACGGCGATGAATCACCCAGATCCGGCGCCGGGGCAGCGAACGAGAACCCTGCGTCCGCTGCAGACCAGCTGCCGATGACTTCCAGTCAAAATTACACGGACGACGACGGCGTCGAGGCTGAAATAATCAGAGATGAAGAAGAAGACAACATCGACGACGAGGAAGGAGAGGACCTCTTAAACGACCAATTCATGAAGTCGGGGTTTCATCTTATTTTCTGCTTTGTAATTAATTGATTGCTATTTATTTCGCACTATTCATGGTGCGTTGATTGCAGTGATTTCCGGAAGATAGGAATGCAGGACCAGTACGAAACCTTGGGTCTGGATGATTCCATGGAGGATGATAGGGATTTCTACCAGATTATGGCTGACCGCAAGTATCCCCAGATTCTTCACAACCAAGGTTGGTCCCCTTTTTCATTTCATTTTTTCACCGTCTCTCTCACCCTTCTGGATCTGTGCTTTGGTATGGATAATACATGTATATTGTTCATTCTCTCCCTTCTGTTCACAAATTTGAAGAAAAGTTATAGGGATAGTCATCTTGTGGGGCATGCCAAGGCTCGAGAGACATTTAATTATGTCAATTTATTCAGTGGTTTTTGCTGAAAATATCTGTAGGTTTTTGCTGAAAATATCTGTACTTTTACTGTATGTATGTATAAATTCTTAAGTACTGCTTTCTCTAGTTGGATAAATTATTTTGCTGCATGACCATTGACCCTAGTGTTGTTCTGATCACAAGAAAAAACTGCAACACATGGTGATATAAGAATGAGGTTTGAAATTAGGTATGGGGTAAACTACATCTAGAGGTAGTCTTGGGCTATGTTCGCTATTCGAGCCCATGAGATATATTCGTCAACCAAATTGGAAAATTGCTGACTCAAACTAATAAAAATGATGCTGTAACTGCGCAAACCATTTTGATAGTCTTTGATTTTGTCTTAAGCTATTATTATGTGAATTGTGAACTGCCAAGTTAAATGACCAAGATACTTAATTTCAGACACCAATGATGATGAAGAGAGGCTGCCAATAATCACTAGAGGTTCACCTGGTAGATCACAAGGAGGGAACTTCAGAGATGATGTATCCATGACTGATATGGACGATGTATGTATTTCAGTTATATATGGCTTAATCTATTCTGAATGTGAGAAGCATTATTGGAATGTCCTGATAAAAGGTGCTGCTATCTCTATAGGATGAAGAGAATGAGGAAAGTGAGTCTGAGATGTATAGAGTTCAAGGAACCCTCAGAGAGTGGGTTATGAGAGATGAAGTGAGGCGTTTCATCGCCAAGAAGTTCAAGGAGTTCTTGCTTACTTATGTGAATCCAAAATATGAGCATGGAGACTTTGAGTATCTAAGGCAGATAAATGAAATGGTGGCGGGTAACAAACTTCCTCCTGGAAAATTTTAAATGTTATTTTTCCAGCCTAATAAGGGTGAATTTAGTAGGTTGTTTGAGTTTGGTTTCATCCAGCCAGTGATCCCACTATGACTTTTCAGTTGTGAATTAACTTAATTCATTTTTACCTGCAGTTAACAAGTGCTGTCTGGAGATTGATTACATACAATTTCTCTCTACCCACACGATCATTGCAATCTGGCTTGTAGATGCTCCTTCGGTCCTCGAGGTTATGGAAGAAGTTGCCAGTAAGATTGTTTTCCAGTTTCATCCAAATTACAGCAAAATCCATCAAAAGATATATGTGCACATCACCAACCTGCCCCCGTATGATCTATGGTAACTAAATTTCACAGGCGGATACGCCTGCAAAAGCTTCTTTCCTTCAAGAGGCATCAGCAGATGCTGATGGAGGGGACTGCATGACTTCTTTTTTTTTTGTTCAGTTCCATAGTTATATAAGATCAGGCTCTTGTTTACAAGTATAATATCTGCATTGGAATTTATGTAGTTTATAATAATATCTATTCTTAGTTTTATTGTTGGTCCAATTCATACATTAGTATTGTTACCATTTTTTATAAGCACACTCATTTTAGGGTGCATTATTTATTTTAAAAAAACATAAAATATGTGGCAAAAAATAAAAAAAAAAGTTGTGGAAAAGAATAAAACGGCCGAATTTTAAAAATTTGTTTTTCTAATAATATTTTTATTAGAAAAACGGATTTCCATAATCCGTTTTTGTTTTTGATTTATTTATTTTTTTTAAAAGAAAACGGTCAAATTTAATAATAATAATACATCTACCGTGTAACACGGATTTTCAAAATCCGTTTTTAATTAAAAAAAAACGATTAAAACGAATTTTGGAAATCTGTTTTTTGCTTTTTAAATATATCTGCGAGCCAGAACCCCCATTTCATTTCTCCTCTCGTTTTTTGCTCAATTTTTTGGCGAATTGAAGCTGCATGAAAAAAAAAAAAAATTCCCATTTCATTTCTCCTCTCGTTTTTTCCAATCGTTTTTTGCTCGATTTTTTGGCGAATTGAAACTGCATTAAAAAAAAAACAAATTTTCAACCAATCGTCGAAGAAGAGGTTAGTTGTTATTTTAATATAATGTAATATTATTTTTTGGTTGTTTATGAATGTTTAAGAGATATATTTGGTTAATTGAGTATTGTTTAGAAAATCATGAATGTTGGTTTAATGTATGTTGAATATTTATTCTAATTGTTTATGAATTTGATGTTATTGTTGGATTATGGTGATTAGGGTTTTGGTGGTGTTTTTGATAAATTAATTGACAATTTTTTTTTTGTCGGAGTAAAAATATGATTAATTATATGTTGTTGGAAATGAGTTTTAAATGTAGATTGATAAAATAATAATTGAAATTTTCTTGGGTGTTTGATTAGTCATTTTGTGTTGTTGTAATTTGTAAAATAGAATTTTTTTTTGTGCAACAGGTTATAAATGGCGTCTAACGGTCCCTATTTTGTTAATGTGTACTGAAAAATTCCTCAGAGTGAGTTATGGAATTTTTCGAATTATATGTCTCGTCTGAATTGTTTATTTGTTATTAATAAAATAATATTATATGAACAATTGGTAGATATAATTTACGAAAATGGTGAGTTTCGTGATAGTTGGACAATTTTGGATATTACTTTGATGGCCAGACAACAGGATGGTTCGTTTATTCCCGGAAGACTGAATAATGAAAGTGCTCTTTCATGGATTTACTACTTTCCTTCGATGTCCTATGTATTTTTGTATATAGTGTTGGAAGCAAACACACAGGTTACACAGGTTGAGGATCCTACGCCATCATATGGTTACGAGGGAATGTTTGGTGGTGAGGGTACGTGGACTACGCATGCCGGTAATTTTGGTGAAGGGACAAGTAACTTCGGCGAAGGGGACGAGTAATTTCGGCGAAGGAACGAGCTTTACCATGAGAGGACCGGACATTGAGGAAGAAATTATTGGAGATGAAGATTTCATTCCCGGTGAAGACGATTTCACTGATGAGACCTCGGAAACCGAATCGACAGATCAATTAATGAGGAGAGCGAACAAGAATTTATTGAAGAACACCCTTTTCCAAATGAAGGCCTCTACTATTATCGCGAGATGGGTGAGTGGGACTTGTCGTGTGTAGACAGGGAGGAGTATGCCTTGCCAGTCTGGGATGGACATGTCGAAACTATCCGTTTGGATACAGTTTTTCGCACTAAGGAAGAAGCCCGGACCGGTATTCTGGCCTGGAATGTTGAGAATCTTAGGGCGGTCCGGACAAAAGATTCCAACAAGAAGTTGTTCAAAGTTGTGTGCAGATCAGTTGAAGTTGTACCATATATATGGAAGGCTCGGGTGAGTCTTAACAAACGGGATCACGACATGTGGGAGGTAACCGAATGCACCGATAGCCACACTTGCATGCAGGTGTTCGAGAGAAATGACCACAAGAATGTGACCGCCACTATGATCTCAAATCTTCTGTTGGCTAAGATTCAGAAGCAGATGACCTACAGTGTGGAAATGGTCCAGGCCGACGTAAAAAGTGCCTGGGGCGTCGATGTCAGCTACAAGAAGGCGTGGCATGGGAGAAAAAAAGCCATCGATTGTCTGCATGACACGTGGGAATCGAACTTCGCACAACTCCCCCAGTAAGCAAAAATTAATAATAAACGTATTTACGTGTTGTTTGTAACTATATTTATTTATTTATGGTTACCTTTTATTAGCGTCGACGACACGCACCTGCGAGGTTCGTACAAGGGGAAACTACTTGTTAATTGCAAATTAATATATTATTTTCTAATTTACAATAGTGTTTGATAAAAAAAAACATATGTCCAACTGAGCAGGTTTGTACAAGGGAAGCTGCTTGTTGCCATAGCGCAGACCGCGAATAAGCGTCTATTGCCAGTCGCGTATGCGATTGTGGACGAAGAAAGCACGGTTAGCTGGTCCTTTTTCCTAACACATATGCGCTATCATGTCGTCCCCGACAGACCGATATGTCTTCTTTCCGACAGGGACAATGGCATATTGAATGCCGTTGAATTACTGGAGACTTGGCACGAACCCCATGCATTTCATCGGATATGCCTTCGACACCTCCGGAGCAACGTGTTTTCAAGGTACCGGAATAAGAAAGTCCGGGGTTTGTGTTGGAGGTTGGGTTCACTGTGTTCTCGCCGCAAATTTGAGCAGAGTCGACAGAAACTCCATGAATGTAACCCGAACGCATACGATTACCTTTTCAAAATTCCTTTGGAAAAGTGGACCCTGTACAAAGATAGAGGACGTCGATGGGGCACTCTGACAACCAATATGTTAGAGAGTTACAACAATGTCCTCAAAGGTGTTAGGTTCCTGCCCTGCAGAGCGTTGGTACAGACCACAATGAACAAGACTCTGGATTTGTTTGAACAGGAACAAAAGAAGTCCAGAGGATGCAGGAGTCCCATTCCTACCGACCTCTATGCCGCCTATCGGGTGTTGGATAAGACGGCGGTGACTCACAAGGTGCGATGTGTGGACACCGACGGATCCCAATACATGGTGACAACCGGTCTACGCGCCAATGGAAGAGGGCAAAACAAGTATGTATTTTTTTATTGTAATTTTTTTTTTCCATTCAAATGAGTTTTTTTTTTTTATTTTTTTTAATTTATATATATAAATCATTATGGAAAACAAGTTTAAGGTTAATTATCAGCAGCAGTGTTGTGCATGTAGGAAATGGCAGACACATCGAAAACCATGCTCTCATGCATTAGCCGTATGTCGTCACCGGGGTGATCAACCGAACTTGTTGTACGATTCCTACTTTTGGACGGAGAACTGGGTTGCTCAATTTTTTAATTGCAATTTTGCTCCAATTGAAAATCCTGACACGTGGCCGCAGGTGGGATGAAATTTGATTCCGCATTGGCAGAGGATCATCTCGAAGCCTGGACCCGGTCGTGCCCAAACGAGACGCTTTAAAATGCAAATGGATCGTCGGGCGCGCCACAGACGAGTCCGGGATCAATGCACTAGATGTGGTGATCCCGAACATTTCGCGGACCATTGCCCGTATTCGCATCCTCCCACCGATCGAACTAGACTCCGTGATGATTGGGGGAACTAGATTTTTGAGATGAATATTTTGTATTTGGATGATTTTCTATTTGGATGATTTATATAATGTGTAATCGAACTCGAATTAGTATAATATTGGTGGATATTGTTGATTGTGAATATTATGCTCGATTGTGAATATTGTGCTCGATTGTGCATATTGGTGGATATTGTTGATTGTGAATATTATGCTCGCCCGTATTAGAATATTATGTTCGATTGGTTGATTGTTTGTTGATTGTGAATATTGGTGGATATAGTTGGCTGATTGTGAATATTGTGCTCGATTATAAATATTGATAAATATTGTGCTCTCCCGTGTTGGTTGACTATAGGGTTACGATAATGAAATCGAACAATAAGTGGAAACGAAAATTTAATACAATTCTAATTTTAAATCATCTTTAGGAATATTATTTTTGTAAAGATATATTATTCGTGAATTAACTATAATTAAATCAAGGATTAATGACTAATTTTATTTATTTATATGATAAAACAGCTGGGCTGTACTCAACAAATCAATATGCAACACAAGCATAATTCAACTGAACATGTGGAAAAATTCCTGAATAATTCCAATCGATTTGTTGGGTCATGTGTGCCGATCAAATACAAAAGAACAAAAAAAATTAAATATATCTCACAAAATTATAAATTATAAAAATCATATTTTAATATAAAAATATGTCAAATTATTACAATCTCGGTCATTTTTGCAGAAAATGGCATCGTCATCCTCGAACCCTCAACCCTACACCCCCACCCCGGCCCCAATGACCCATCACTTCTATATCTTTAGAACCGCCACCTCTCCAAGGCGGTATATGAGGACGCACCGGGGTTTCGCCACGGCGTGGTTAAACCACGCCGTGCGGACACCCAGTTCTGGGCTGCCTTGCAAGGCAACAACCAGAATGCCTGGACCTGGGAGGTGATTGAGAAGGCCGGCTTCGGGCTTTTGTTTCGGATGGGGCGAGTCCCGACAAACAATGGCCTCATTATATGCCTGCTGGAGAGGTGGCGTCTGGAGACGCACACCTTCCACTTCGACTTCGAGGAGGCCACGATTACTCTCCAGGACGTTCAGATACTCTTTGGCCTCCCCGTCAGCAGGGAACCATGCTGGGGACAGACCGTACAACGGACTTCCCAAAAGTGGAGAGCCGTTTGCGTGGACGCTCTAGGGTACCTCCCATATGTACAGGTATATTTTTACCTAAAACTTTTATTTGCTTATTTTTTTTATTATTGTGTTTATGTATACTTAAGTCATGGGTCGTTTTCAATATATATATAAACGTATTTTAAGGATCTCGGGGACCAAGACTACGACCCCAAGACTTGGGGCATTTCAGGCCAGTACCTGTATTTCAGTAGTCTGGAAGAGGAGTGCAAGCGACCTCTGGAGGATGGACTCCCTACATCAGAGTACGAGAGGAGGGCGAGAACCCTGATACTC